GCCTCTATGTCCAACCTGGCCTTGAACACTGCCAGGGATGGGGCAGCCCCAGCTTCTCTGGGCACCCTGTGCCAGTGCCTCAGCACCCTCAGTCTCACCCTGGGTCCATCCCAGCTGGCTTCAGCAGTAGCATCAGTCCCATGAGTTCCAGAGAGATGAGCTGCTGTCAACTTTGCCCAGGGTCTGATGGGGAGTGTCTAGGCCACCTTCATGCCATTCCCGTGTTTTCTAAGTGCTGTCATTGAAGCTCACTCACTAAATGCCTGTTTTGGTTCCCTTGCTGGTGCCTGGTCATTGCAAGAGGTAGGTGTAGAAACAGAAGAAAAAACCATGGCCCTGTGTGCATCACTGCTGGCTTGACCGGCCTGGCGTCTCCCCCAGGTTGAGGTCTGCCTGCAGGCAGTTTCCAAGGGGTAATTTATTCCCTCTTGGTCTCTTGGCCATGCTCTGTTTTGCCTGAACCCCTCCTGGTCATGGGGGAAGCGTGGTGTGTTTCAGTGTGGTTGTAAGTGGGTTGGTCCCAACAGCATCCTGGCTGTGAACACTTGCACAATGCCTCGGTGCAGGATCCGTGCCTCTCGTGGGGCAAGCAAGGGAGGTGTCAACCAGATGGGTGCTCAGATGTTCCTCCTCCTTGTCCCAAAGGTGACATGTGAAGGCAGCGCCCGGTGCGGGGAGCGGCAGCAGCTGAGATGCATTCGAGCCACGCCGATGACCCCAAGGAAGCCATACAGGTGAGTGAGACACCCCAGTGCTCCCCACACAGCTCCAGTTACGCCCCAGTGCAACTCCAGTTACCTGCAGGGTCGTAACTTGTGGGTGCTGCCAGCTGGGATTGGGATAGGTTATATGGGTGAAAGTGGCTCACACTTTCCAGCAGAGAGGATCCGTGATGGTTTGTTAAAGCAAATAGGGCGACCACGAGTTAAACCACATCAGGCTCTACCTTGGGCTTTGCTTCTCATGGCAAGACACAGCGAGGGGCCGGGGAAGGCGCTCAGCCCTGGTACCTGGGTGAAGCAGCTTTGCTGCTCTCTGCATTTGGCATTTGCTTCCCCAGCTTTGGGAGTCTGAACATGTTTCATGAGCCAAGTTCAAACCCCGCGGTTCCACCCGGGTGTTTCATTCACCCCCAGCAGAGTTAATTCCTGCACGGCAGATGAAATCATTTGCACTCTTTAATCCTGGGAGCCCACGCTCGCTGCTTGCAGGAGGGTGGCTGGTGCTGGCAGCAGAGCTGTGGGGTGCCTGGCAAACAGCCCCTGCTCCAAGGGGCGTCCCCGCTGCAAACAGGGATATGGTGCATGTTCTCCTGGCTCTTTTCCTTGAACTACAGCTGCTGGGAATCATATTTAGCTGCTGGGAAAACAACAAATATCCTGGGCTGGAAATGGAATCTGGGTTTGTACAGCCAAGCCAGGCTCAAGTCACAGCTCTACCCTGCCCCAGGCGCATGGAATGCTACGTGGTGGATGTTGAAATGTGGATTGCTAGTGGGATCCCGGCTGGATTTGCAGTGTCTGCCAAATGCCTGCTGGGAATTGCAACTTTCCTTTTCAATGAGGTCGATTGAAACACCCGGGCTCAGCTGTGCTGGGGAGAAAATCCTCTCCACCAGCATCAAATTGTGAAACCCTGGGCTTGCTCTGGCTGGTGTGAGACAGTGGGAGGCAGAGCTGCTGGAAAGGAAAATTCCCATTTCCCAGCTTCACAGCCCACCCAGCCTTGCTGAAAGTAGCAGTTAAACCCTAGCCATCCTTCCAAAAGCATCTTTCAGGGGGGCCTGTCCCCAGTAGCACCAGTGGGTTGATGGGCACAGCCAAGCTGCTGAGAGCACTGGTGGGATCGATGGCTTTGATTCCTGCCCATGGGACTTGTTAGAGCATCACATGCTGCTTGGGCTGATCTGCACGAGTTCAAGTCCTACCCCAGCCCTTGCTTCCTCCTTTCAGTTTCTCTTTTCTCACTCGAGCTTATTTAATCCTTGTGCTTCCCCTGAGCAAGCATATGGAAGGAGCCAGTTTCTTTTTCTCCCTATCCCAGCGCAGCTGTGGCTGCCCCATCCCTGGCAGTGTTCAAGGCCAGGTTGGACACAGGGGCTTGGAGCAACCTGCTCTAGTGGAAGGTGTCCCTGCCCATGGTAGAGGGTTGGAACTGGATCAGCTTTAAGGTCCCTTCCAACGCAAACCAGTCTGGGATTCTATGACTCTTCAGCAATTTGGTGTCTGCGGGGGAAGCAGATACACACTCTAAAGGCAACCCCAGCAACCCCATGGGCTCCAAACCACCAGCTACAATTGCACAAATTACTCATTTAATTAAAAACTAAAACCAGATGAACTGTGATGCCATGAGTTGAGTCCCCAGCTTGGCCAGTTCAGTTGTGGTCCTCCTTGACAGTCACATGGTGCTTCACTTTGGATAAGCCCTGCAGTTTTGGAGCCCTTTTTATATGAAATCTTCCCTAATACTTCTCCTTTTTCTAAGCCAAGCATGTACCTCCTGTCTTGCAGCTGATCAAGAAGCAGCTGGTGAACGCCATCAAGGCACTGCAGAAGCAGTACGTGACCTCAGATGCCGTTGTAACCAGCGATGATGGGAATGCCAACACCCTCTGCAGCGCCCTGGAAGCTGTCTTTGTGCACGGGCTGAAGGCAAAGCACATCAAGACAGAGAGTGGGGGGAAAGGGAAGAAAACAGGGAGCCGGGCACCACTTCCCCAACCGGTCTTCTGGGGTCTGCTGAAGAGCATCACCCACCGGTGAGTGCCTGTCCCTGCCCAAACGGGGTTTGTACTCTCAGGTTTATCCCCTCTCCTTGGTGCAAAAGCCACAGAATTCAGTAAATGGCAAACAGGAGGGTGGCTCAATGGAAAGATACATGTCTACCCATCCCATGTGCTCAATCCCTGCAGTCCAGAGGAGAGATGTTTTCCAAGGGTTTCTTGGCATCATGTTGATGCTGGGCTGGGCACCTAGCATGACCCCTCTTGGTATGTGCAAGGGGTGAAGTGACCTTTAGGCATGAGCCGATGTCCCAGAAAATTGAGGGATAAAATACTGCTACCAGCTTTTGGCACACCCTTTTCTTCCTTATTTTTGGGTGCCAGGCTGTATAGGGGGACTCAGTGTCCCCAGTGAGGCCCAGGTGACGGTAGCAGTGGGTTATGAAATGCACAGCGTAGGGTCTGGTCTCTCTTTTGACCTGGACCATGTCCCAACCAGTCTTTGAGGTCTCACCTCGGTACCTATCGTTTGGTGGGGGTTTTCTGAGCCACTCCCTAAGCAGAGTCCTCCCACAGTAAAGAACAGCCCACACACAGATAGTTTTGAAAGCCTCATCCAGCTCCATCACCAACTCTTAAATTATGGAAGTGCGGATGAAAATAACTCTTCCACACGCTACGGGGGATATTTTTGTGCCCTTTGAAGGGTTTTTTTTCCCTCTTTCTTGAGAGACAGATTTAAATGAAATCATTACAATACTTCTGTTTTTTGAGGCATCTGGGACCAGGGAGGATTGGAGAGCGTGGTGTCGCTGTTGGATTGTAGGGGAGAATGCTTGAAATCAGGAGGTTGAGATTGCTTGAGGAGCTCAGCCTGACCTAGTTTGGGGCTTTTTGGGCTGCCACAGCCTTTTTCCCTGTGTTTTGACTGACTTTAAATGTGAAGCTGGGAGTGTCCAGCCAGAGCAAGCCCCACCAATGTGCAGGGACAGCGGGAATTTCCCCCTCTGCATCCTTGGTTCAGGGAGATGCCTCCAGCCAGAGAGAGGACTAGCACCCAGAGGTACCCTAGGGGTGCCTGGAGTTGTTACTGATATATTTAGCTTTGGAACTAAACAATTTTAAGGTCCTTTCCAATCCTAACCATTCTGTGATTCAGAAGCTCTTTTTTTTTTTTTTGTGGGGAACCATGTTTTCCATGAAGGAAAAATATTTTCCTCAGCCTTTTTTGTTCCAGCTTGTAAACACTCCATAGCAGAGCAGGATGGGCAGTTCCTGATGGAAGATCTGCCCCTCTTGCACCCCATGATGGACCGAAGCCGGAGCTGCTCACATTCTATTCTGTTCTTTTTTCTCCCTTTTCCCTAGAAATATCGTCTCCGAGCTGGAACAACTCATTTTTATCAACACGGACGTGGGCCGCTGCCGGGCCTGGCTGCGACTGGCTCTCAACGATGGCCTCATGGAGTGTTACTTGAAGCTGCTGCTGCGGGAGAAGTCTCCACTGCCTGAATACTACCAAAGCACTGCTCTGCTCTTAGATGCTGAAGAGTGCGAGTTTCTCCTTTGCTACTTGCAGGGTTTAACATCCTTAACCTTTGAGCTCTCCTATAAATCAGCAGTTCTGAATGAGTGGACTATCACCCCTCTGTCCCTGTCAGGTCTGTGTCCTGTTTCAGAGCTGCTGGAGCCCCTCACGTCCTCAACATCCGAACCCCACAGAAAAGCATCGCTGGGTTCCATCTCCCAGTCATCAGGATCGGATGAGATCGAGATTCAACCCTCTGTCCTCCCCATCAGCAAAGCCAGCAGCAAAATTAAGCTCACGTCATCGTCGTTGAGCCTCAACACCACCAGCTCATCCCAGCTCTCCTCCAGCCTGGGCTCCGACAGCATCCTTCCGGCCCACTGTGCCCGCAGCCCTGAGCGAGGTGAGGAGCCGCTGTCCTGCGACTCCGACCTGGGCACGGCCACCGCCGAGGACCTGGACCGGTCACTGCAGGAGTGAGTGTTCTCCGATATCTCCTCTTCAGAGGGATTTTTAACCCTCTCCTGGGCTCTCATTGATTTCCTCTCTATAGGCAGGGGGGGGGT